TGTTACTATTATTTATTTTAATATAATAATTTCCCATATTTCACTTTGCGCTCCAGGAACCTGGATTGTAAAAAAATACTCTCTATATTAATACTTAGCTTCAAGTAATAAAGATGAATTTTGAAGCGTTTGAAATGAGATGGGAAAATATAAATTTACTGCAATCTGCAATTGAAAATAATGATCCTGAAAAGGTTGAAGAACTTATTGAATCAGGCATAGATATCAATTTAAAAAACGAATGGGGATTGGCTCCATTACATATTGCAGTTGACCTAAGTAGGACTGAAATATTACAGAATCTGATAAGAAAAAATGCTGATATTAATATTCAGAATTCATTTAAAGAAACACCATTACATTTTGCTGTATTAAGACCAAATGATAAGTCTTATTTACATCTAATTCAAGCAGGAGCATCGCTTAATATCAAGGATCATAATGGTGACACCCCATTACATTTTATTATCAGAAATGGGTATTTGGAGATTTCAAGAGAATTAATTAAAAATGGAGCTGACATTCATGCTATCAATTTAAAAAATATATCAATTTTAATAACTGCTGTTACATCTTTTAAAAACCTAGATTTTATTAGAAATTTATTGGAATTGGGTGTTGAGGTTGATTTTAAAGATAGTCATGGAAGAACTGCTTTGCACCTTACAACTATGGAATGGTTTAATCCAAAAAGAGGGGAACTGATGAAACTTCTAATAGAATTCGGTGCTGATGTCAATTCAAGATGTATGAATGGGAATACACCTTTAATGAATATTGCTCTAAATGGCAAAATATTTGAAGCTCAAATATTGATAAAATCAGGTGCAAGTATTATTGCTGAAGGTAACTATAAATTGAATGCGTTACATCATGCAATTGAGGGAAATCATATTGAAATGACAAAGTTTCTGATAAATTCAGGCGCAAATGTAAACAGTAAAGATTCATTAGGCAGAACCCCTTTGCATTTAGCTGCTAAGAAATCAAATTACAATATGCTGAAGATACTAGTTGAGGCGAAAGCTGACATCTACTTGAAAGACAATAAAGGATTGATTCCTTTGGCATATGCTCTACAAGATAATTCCTCTTACGCTTGGGAAGATGAGGTTTCTGGCTTGAAATATCTTCTACAAGAAACAAGAGATTTCGATCTGAACCAATGTTTTAGTTCAGGTTCAAATCATTCAAAATCTATCAAAATGATGGTGAAATATTTTGTCCTTCATCATCCCATATCATCATTTCCTAGTGCCTTATTCTCAGAAGAGATGCTCTCAAGTTGGTGGAAAAGTTGTCAGCGAGAGGTGGCTACAATGCTGAGCTATAAATTAGGACAGATCACCTTACACTGCTACCTGGTGGAACCTGACATAAACAGAAGAGCAGGGTTCTTATACAATGAGAATAATGGGATAAAAATTGATCTGAAACTGAATATGACCCGATATAAAGACAAACTACAAATTTACGGTAGTATGATAGAAGAATACTACAAGGAGGATATTAAAAGGGGTAAATTACTTTTAAAATCGGTGTGTACTGCAAAGAAAAATCAGTATAAAGGTGTGACCAAGTTGAATTCTGCTAATATAGCTGAATACCTTACAAATGAAGCATTTGGTGAATTTCCTCATTAGGAAATAAATTTTGAAATATTATTTCTAAAATTCAGCCATGTGACAACATTGAGTATTTTAACCAAAAAGCATTTGAAATATGAAGAATAATTCCAAAATAATATATATGAGAGAAGTTTATGTATATAAATATTAGACTATTAATAAAATATTTTTATTATTTGATCCAACATAAGCCCATTCAATGATATAGGATTTATGTAAAGAGTATCTACTCACTTCAGACTTATGTAATATATATGTGATCAATGTATCTTCTATGTACCCTCAAACATTATAAATGTTTTAAAACATTCTATATATGATTTTACATTTATATCTAGCTTTTACATACTGGTAATGCACCTTAATCCCAAAATATGCCTGTACTTTGAATTAACTGTATTTGTCCCCTATATTTAGAATTTGGTTAACAAATATTGATTAGTATATTATTGAAATTAATCTAGCCCTTACTTTGTTTATTTATTTGTACGAGCTGGAGGACCCAACTTAATTCATTTTTCTCCCAAATGAATGTTTGCCCAACGAATATTGTCTCTACAGTGATTATTTTAAATTAGTATAGGGATATTGACTTTCATTAATATTTTATATTGAAATTATAAATTTATTGCATAGTATGTAAATAATATTACGATTGGGTAACTTTCTTAGTCTTCGGATAGCATTAATGACATATTTTTAACCACTTCTTTCCTCCTGTCAAAAATTTAATTGATATTCTATTATCAAAATGAATGCGCCCTTGTTTAAATTGTTATAAAAATATTCATTATCTAGATCATCAAATATAATTTTTTCTAATTTAGCCAGAACTAATAGAGAGATATACTCCTAATTCCTATTATAAATCCTTTCATTAATTGTCTTTCATAGGTGTCTATATCTTTTGTCTACCCTTTTAACATACTTCAGATTGCACAGAAGTTCAAATTTTTAAATATATTGAATTAATATGGAAATAAAAATTCTGACTTTTATATAATTGGTGAAGTATATTAAGTTAAATGAAGTATGCAGTTTTATTTTTCATATATATATTGCATTGTCATAATGAGTAGTAAGTAGAAATAAATACGTAAGGAAAGTCTAAAAAAGTGATAAGATGTAATTTTAATAAAATTTTTATATCAATACTTCAAGTAAAAAACAATAAAAACAAAATTGACTCAATAATACAGTTTAAACTATTTGTCATCAAAAGCCAATTCACTATCCAACCCAATCACTTTATTTGTTAAAGAATATATTTTTATCTGTAAGAATTAAACCCATAATTTAAAAATAGCCTAATAACAGAATAACATGCCTTTTTGGGGTCATAATACCTTATGCTATTTTATTGAATTATTTTGTTGATAAAGCATTCTAATAATATTAGTAGAAAAGGGGCCTTCTAAAATATAAATATAGAATTAATAATATTATGTTTATTTGTATAAAATATGAAGTGTTTAATTTGGAGCATTATTCGTAGGGCCAATTTCACTTGGAGAGATCCTGGGAAAGTCTGGCCGAATTTATAATTGTTACAAATGGTATTTGAAATTGAAAAAAAAAATTGTATACATATGCACTCCCGAGTAAAAAGCTTTCTAGTAAACGCTGGACGTTGCCTGGGTCATTCGCCTAGTAGAGAGAGGTATTCATAACCCAGGTTCCTGGAGCGCAGAGCGCCAACTACCCAGGAAGTCCAGCTAACTAGTATGGACTAGTGTTGAACGCTTTTAATCGTGTCCAGTTTTGATTACTGAGTTGAACCAGTTGACCAGGAAGTTCCATGCTGAGGTTGAGTCTGGAATACTGGCCATAAATCTAGGATTGAGGTTGGTCAGTCCAAGCAGGAAAGCTGTTTTCATCCTATGTCTCAGGAATGCTGGACAGCTGAAAAGGAGATGATTGACCCCTTGAGGCTCTTCTGAAGAGTTGATGCAGGGAGGGTCAGTTTCCGGATGCACACATGAAATGTCTGCTAGTACATGGCCATGGCAGGTGAGGATGGTGGTGGCGCCTTTCCAAGGTAAATTTTGTTAGATATTTTAGGAGATGCCTTGGAGTGTAAGCAATTCTCGTGTGGGTCTGGTCGATTGGTCTTGGGAATATAATACAGTCTATGATGATAGAGAAGCCTTACAGGTTAGGTTTCGAGCATGAGTTCGAGGCAGGGTGGAGTATGAATGTGGTATTACAGAATTAGTGGCAATATTTGCTGAATTGTCTGCTAGTTCATTACCATTGATTCCATTTGTCCGGGTACTCAACACATCCTAATGTAAGGAGCTCTGTTGAGGACTTTTATTATATTTGCCAATAGCGATATGCGTGTTGGTTCTGAGGAGCAGATAACTGATAAAGGTATCTACAGTCCGAGGCAATAGTCACTGGTGTTAGGTTGGACTATTCTCCGCGATTTGAGCTGCCCAGAGAATTGCTAAAAGTTCATCGTGATAGAAAGTACAGTTTGAGTGAATCTATAAGAAAACTGACTGATGGTTTTGGGAAGAAAAGATGCCTGAAGCACCAACGCCTGAATCACTTTTTGATCAATCTGTGAATGGTGAAGCACCTTTTTCCCAAAATATACCTGTACTTTAATTTAACTGTATGTCTGTAGATTTTTTAAAATAAATATTGCATTGTCATAATGAATAAAAAAGTATAAAAATTACTTGAGGAAATTAAAGAATGTGAATAAATGTAATTAAAAAAAACACATTTTAAAATTAATGCTTCCAGGAAAAATGCAATAAAAATCAAATTAATTCTAATTGTTGTTAAAAATTTATCCTGTAAAAATTTAATTGAAATTATATTTTAAAAACGAATACACATTCATTTAAAAATACATTATAAAATATTATTTTTTCAAATTTAGCCAGAAATAATAGATAGATATACTCCTAATTCCTATTATAAATGCTTTCATTTAAATATCTTTCATAGGTGTCTATATCTTTTTTCTACCCTTTTTAACATACTTCAGATTGAACAGAAGTCTCAAAATTTTTAAATATATTGAAATGATATGAAAATGAAAATTCTGACTTGTATATAATTGGTGAAGTATATTAAGTTAAATAAAGTATGCAGTTTCATTTTTTCAAATATATATTGCATTGTCATAATGAGTAGTAAGTAGAAATAAATACTTTGGGAAAGTCTAAAAAAGTTATAAGATGTAATTTTAATAATATTTTTATATTAATATTTCAAGTAAAAATGCATTAAAAACAAAATTGATTCATTAATACAGTGTAAACTATCTACTTATATAATTGCCTTATTCTGTCTGTGTGAAGTTCACTGTGTGAAGTTCATGGATAGATTTTGGTCAGAATGGATAAAATAAAAAAGTGTCAAGGGATGGGAAATCGAACCCACGACCTTCCGCTTACCGGGCAGATGCCAGACCACTAGGCTACCCTGGACATATTTTTCCGTTCATAAATATAATATAAATATTTATATAATAACTGCTCTAATTTGAAATATTTGGTAGGTTTCATTTATTTATATATTTTCATTTTTAGATATAACTGATCTAATTCGCCGTTTAAATAACTAATAATAGTTCGCTTAAAAAACACATATAATATAAATATTTATATAATAACTGCTCTAATTTGAAATATTTGGTAGGTTTTATTTATTTATATATTTTCATTTTTATATATAGCTGATATAATTCGCCGTTTAAAATAAGTGTTCTTGAAATATTTGGTATGTTTTATTTATTTATATATTTTAAATTTTTGATATAACTGATCTATTTCGCCGTTTAAAATAACTGCTCTAATTCGAAATATTTTTGGGAAGTTTTATTTGTGTTTACTCTATTTCTATTTATTTGAAGTATTACAATTTCCATGTTTCAAAAACCTATTTCAAAAAGGTCGTTAGAAATATGTAATGCCTGAAATAACTTTGCATGCGAATATTTATGATGCCAAGCGTAGCTTAATGGTTAGGTATGCGGCATCGTATTTCCACAAACTTGGTTCGAAACTTAGCCTGGGTGTTTTTTTTATATTATTGAAGCAAAGTTTTTTTTTTTACAGTACCAAGATTTCCATACATAGGTAAAAAAAGTACGAGGAAAACGATAGGCTATTTTAAATTATATATAAATTAAATATTAAAAATATATATTCAAATTATTCTACTTAGCTCACGAACAGTGCTCTCTATCAAGGTTATAAATACGTTTAAAATCGATATCTTCTCAAATTTTATTAATAATAGTTCGCTTAATAATTAGAACACTTGATCCAAATCGAGATATTTATAGACGCTCGCTCGATTTGAAGATTTACACATGTGTATATCGTAACTAATCTGACTGTAAAGTTTGGAGCGGGACGTTTCACAAGAGTGACATCCACGGCGCCAAATTTATAATTGTAACGAATAGTGTTTGAATAAAACATTTAATCGGGTAAACCCGGGCGTTGCCCGGGTAATTCGTCTAGTTTGTTATAAAAAGCCAATTTACTATCCAACCCAATCACTTTATTTGTTATAGAATATGTTATTTTTATCTGTAAGAAATAAACCCATAATTTGAAAATAGCCTAATAACTTGGCTTTTTGGGGTCATAAAACCTCATGCTAATTTACTGAATTATTTTGTTGATAATGTATTCTAATAATATTACTAGAAAAGGGGCCTACTAAAATATAAATATAGAATTATTATTTTTTTTATTTGTGTAAAAATTGAGTGTGTTCAATTTAAGGCATTATTCGTAGGGCCAATTTCACTTGGAGAGATCCTGGGAAAGTCGGGCAGAATTTATAATTGTTACAAATAGTATTTGAATTTGAAAAAAAAATTGTATACATATGCACTCCTGAGTAAAAAACTTTCTAGTAAACGCTGGACGTTGCCTGGGTCATTCGCCTAGTACAGAGAGATATTTATAACCCAGGTTCCTGGAGCGTAGAGCGCCAACTACCCAGGAAGTCCAGCTAACTAGTATGGACTAGTGTTGAACGCTTTTACTCGTGTCCAGTTTTGATTGCTGAGTTGAACCAGTTGACCAGGAAGTACCATGCTGAGGTTGAGTTTGGAATACTGACCATAAATCTAGGATTGAGGTTGGTCAGTCCAAGCAGAATAGCTGTTTTCATCTTATATCTCAGGAATGCTGGACAGCTGAAAAGGAGATTATTGAAGAGTGGATGAAAGGAGGGTCAGTTTCCAGATGCACACATGTAATGTCTGCTAGTTCTTGGCCATGGCTCGTGAGGATGGTGGTGGGGGCCTTTCCAAGGCAAATTTTTATAAAAAATTAGGAGATGCCTTGGAGTGGAAGCAATTCTCCTGTGGGATCTGGTCGATTGGTCTTGGGAATATAATACAGTCTATGATGATAGAGAAGCTTTACAGGTTAGGTTTCGAGCATGAGTTCGAGGCAGGGTGGCGTATGAGTGTGGTATAACAGAATTAGTGGCAATATTTGCTGAATTGTCTGCTAATAACGAGTTTACAAAGTGTCTGCTAGTTCATTACCATTGATTCCATTTGTCCGGGTACTCAAAACATCCTAATGTAAGGAGCTCTGTTGAGGATTTTATTATATTTGCCACTAGCGATATTCGTGTTGGTTCTGAGGAGGAATAACTGATAATGGGGATCTACAGTCCGAGGCAATTTTCACTGATGTTTTGGTTGGACTATTCTCCGCGATTTGAGCTGCCTAGAGAATTTCTAAAATTTCAGCGTGAGAGAAAGTACAGTTTGAGTGAATCTATAAGAGAAATGACTGATGTTTTTGGGAAGAAAAGATGATCGCAGCACCAACGCCTGAATAACTTTTTGATCCATCTGTGAATGGTAATGCACCTTATTCCCAAAATATGCCTGTACTTTAATTTAACTGCAAGTCTTTAGATTTTTAATATATATATTGCATTGTCATAATGAATAAAAACTATAAAAATAACTTGAGGAAATTAAAGAATGTGAATAAATGTAATAAAAAAACATTTAAAATTAATGCTTCCAGTAAAAATGCAATAAAAATCAAATTAATTCTAATTGCTGTTTGAAATATAGGTTATTAAAAGCCTATTCACAAATTTATTTATTTATTTCGTCTCAATTTACAGGTGTTACATTCGAGCACAGCTCGCGAGTCACCTTGTCCTGGCTATTTACACATGGCGAGTTGGTGGAGTAGCGGTGATCCCCCTGGACCTTGCAGGAGGGCAGCTGTTGGGCGATGAGCTCTTAACTAAGTGTCAGGGCTGGGTCGTCGGAATCGGGGATTGTTATCTCCTTTATTTTGTAGAATATCTTGTATGGTTGGATTATTTGAATTTTTGCATTTGTAGGTATAATTTCTCAACGGATGTTTGGTACATATCTTCTAGATCGGGTTGGTTCAAATCCTCCTTCAGTATCTTGTTTGATAGGTTGAATGTAGCTCCAATACTTGTCCGAAAGAAGATTCTCACAAATGCGTTTATCCTATTTTTGTCTGTGGTTGTAATATATTTTCACTAAACTGGGAGTGCGTATGCTACTATCGGAAGGATACAAATTCTGTATAGAGTAAACTTTTGTTTTGTAGTCAATTTGCTTCTATAGTTGAACAGGCTTGATAATGTTATTTTTGCGATTTTTGCTTTCTTTATGATATTTTTGACATGCATGTTGAATTTCAACTTGGAGTCCAAGGTAACTCCAAGATATTTAACGCTGTCAGTCCAGTTAATAGGGTTCTGGTTTATCTTTAGGATGGATTGTGGCTTGAAATTTTTATTGTCTAGTGGAGGAAAAATTATTGCCTAAACCTCTTTTGGGTTGATGTCTAATTTCCAATCATTGCACCATTTGGTTATACTGTTTATGTAATTTTGGAGTTGTGTATTTATTATTCCTATTGATTTGGATTTGCTAAATTTTCTGCGTCATCTGCGAAAATTTTGTTTGACATTTTGGATGTGGAGGGAAATCGTTAATGTAGATGTTGAATAGGTAGGGTCCAAGGATAGAGCCTTGAGGGACTCCAATCTGGGTTGGTTTTGCCGTGGTTATATAATTCCTTCGCTTAATTGAATAGGTCCTGTGCTGGAGATAGGTTTCCAAGAATTTGATAAAATCCTTTAGAAATTGATTTTTTGTTATTTTTGTTATCAAGCCATCTTGCCATACTCTATCAAATGCTTTGGTAAAGTCTAGAAAAACAGCACCTACTGCCTCCTTGTGGGACTTTGTCATTTGGATGTAGTCTTTTACTGTGATGAGCTGGTGGGTTGTGGAGTGTCTTTTTCTGAATCCAAATTGTTGAGGAATGATAAAGTTAATAGAATCCATGTATGTCTGCAATCTGCGAAGAACAATCCTCTCGTATACCTTACCGATGGTAGAGAGAAGGCTGATTGGTCTGAGATCTTCAGGTGATTTGACAGGTGATTTTATGGAATGGTTATGATAATGGCATGTTTCCATGTCTTCAGGAAGTAGCACAGATGTAATGCAGCATTGAAGATCCAAGCGAGGAAAACTATTCATTTGATGGGGAGGTTTTTAGTCATTTGCGACGTAATATTTTCGTGGCCTGGAGCTTTGTGATTACCTAGGTTTTTAATCACTTCCTTGACTTAATTTGGGGTTGTCATTGATAGTATATTCTCTTGGGGATGTTAGAAATTGTTTTCTGTTAGGTAAGAAGGAACCTCATTCTCCGCCTTGGAAAAGTGTTTGGAAAAATGCTCTGAAAGATCATTTCCAATTTCTTTGTCGGTCAACAAGGTTTTTCCATTTGCGTATAAACTAGTGATTTTGTCAATTTTTTTCCTAATAGTTTTTTTTCCCAGAAGTCTGTTGGTTTCGATTATAGTTTGCTCAAAAACTATTTTAATTTTCAGATTTCTCTGCTTCAAGGGCTTGGTGTACCTTTCCTTGAAGATTGAGGTAAGTAGCTCTATGAGCTGGATCCCAGGTTGATTGCAATCTTTTCAGAGCTTTATTTTTCTTCCTTATTAAGGCTTTGGTTTTGGGTTCTTTATTAATTTGGAAGATGAGACTATGGTGTTTTTCGAGTAGCGATTATTAATTTTCTCGTTTAAAATTCCAACTGCTGAATCAATGTCTACTTTTTTTTTCAAGGAGAGTCTGGGGGGCGTGGTGGAGATTAGATCTTGTTGAAAATGTACCCAATTAGTAGCTCGGCGAGCTGAGTTGTGAATTCATCCTTTGGACAACTCAATTCAAAGATTACAGGGTGATGGTCAGATGATAAATCATCGGTGGTTCTGGCCTTTGGGGTCCAGGGAATGTTTTTTAAAACAGCGAAGTCTAGGAAATCGGGATTGCCGAGTAGACTGTATTGCGTGGGTGACGAAGGTGCGACAATGTCTAGCTTTCTCATTCAGAGAAATTGTGCAGCACGACTCCGCTGTTATTAGAAGTCCTTGATCCC